ATGATAAACTGCTTTATGTCTGTTCCCTGTTGTAATTGAGTCATCCATTTGTTATGAAGTAGAGGTCGTATATGTTGAGAGGAGCACCGAGCACAGTCTTTAAATGAGAATAATCCCACCAGTTTTTGAAGATAAAGGATATTTAAATCGCGCAGAAACTTCAGAGAAGAGATGTGATGAACACGGTGATGTTTGTTTTTCATCATTTCTTGATCTCAACTTTCTTCAGCACTTGCAGAGATCCGTGCTAAATCATTTCAGTCTCTAGCAGGTGTGAAGTGAGTGGCTGCTTAGATCAGCACGTCTCACGAGGACATTTAAGAAGCTTACCAAACAAGTCCAGCAATATGCAGGATCTGTGCAGAAACCCACTGCATCACAAACTGCAACACAGTGAATATACCTGCATCTGCTCGGTGATATAGCAACACATACCGCTGTAGTAGAAAGCAGCCTTTCTTCCCTCTCATGGTCAAAATCCCTTAAACTGTCCGGATGGTTTGGGGGTTTTTATACAAGTGTACAAACATTTGTAAATTACAAAGATATTATGATCCTTTAATGTTGTTTGGACTGGGTTGCAATTAAATTTCTTAGACAAGTCGCCTATAGAGTACTACTTAAATCAACAGTAATATAAATGCAGTGAAGATCAAATAATATAATTAAAAACTTGCAACATATTGAAACTTTTGGATTAGCAAAAGCAGAGGTCTTTATTTGTATATCATCTTGTACTTCATGTGCGTTCAGCATTACATGAAAGTGACGGTTTATCAGTGTGCTGCATGAGGTGACCTCTGACCTGATGCTGCTCACTGCACTGCGCCATGTTTGAACTGCAACGAATCTTTGAGTATTAAACCATTCATTTAAAATCATCACAAAATATAAAAAGCCCTATACTCAATCGTATGGGTCATTTCTTACACTTATCTACTTTGTCATTTAAAGCATATTTAACTATGGTTTACATGTGAATGATACTTTCTCCTCTCCTGAATATCAAGTCAAATTAATTCTCATTTTGAATAGATTAGAGCACAATATGTCAATCCAATGCAATCATTTCCAGAGTATTTACAATAAAACTTTTACACATATATGCCTGCTCACTGTCTAATTCACCCTGTTTTAAATATGAAGTCATATCAGATGATGAAAATGTATTTGCTGGATAAAATTGGTTCTGCGGTGCACTCTCTTGCTCTGAATGAATACCGTGTTAAATACAATGCATTTGTAGCTTCATCTCATACAGTGTATAGCAAATGAGACTTGTGCTACTTTATAATACAGACTGAGAAGTACAAATTCAAAACGTTCTTGAACATGATATGTAAATGCATTAATATGGCAAAAAGCCCCTATTCATTGACAAATCCATTATAAAAACAGAGCTCTAAACAAGCATGTGTTAGCCCTGTACTGGTTTCCACTGTATGTATATAAGTTGGTCCAAAGAGTCTTTTTCCTGATAATGACCCGAACCATGAACATGCTGATCTTGTGAATCTGATCATGAAGGACCAGTCACATTTCTCCCATGTCCAAACTATTGTCTTGCAGTTTGAGAAGTTCCTCAGACATTTCTTCCCACACAGCTGCTGAAAAAAAAATCTACAAGGGCTAAAATAAGCTTGCTTCACAAGTAATATGACTGAATTTTAAATCAGCTGACTGTGCTTTGCTGCAGAACAGATGATCATTGTATGAATCTTCTGACCATCTGCTGCACCATATTTCCTTTTTCCTTTCTTTTTCTGGTCATCTGTTTACTTTGAATAAACGTTATTTTATAGTTACAACTGATAAACTTAGCTGGAGACAGATTTGAAATTGATGCTTGCACACCAGGTGAGCTCAACAAGTTGCATCTTCGGTCATATTAAAATTGTTAATCCAAAATATCTGGCATACTGGTTTTGTCCTTTTGTCATCATAGTTTTATGGATTTATGAACTATCGATGTCTCGTCTATATGATTAAACCAAACCAATGCAAAATGAAGGGAAAAAAAGTGCAGCAGTGCAAAACAGTCATAAAATCCACTGTATTGTAACATGGAGGGCTGTGACAGGGAAAGCAGAGTCTGAGGTTCCTGGTCGACAGTAGTCTCTTGTCCATGGTGTTCCTGTCACAGTTAAGCTGAAGCTCACGGGGACGACGCTGTGTGTCTAATAACTCTGCACTGCAGAGCTGCTCTGTTTGCTGCAGTCACGACTGCCCCACAGAAACAACCAAACAGAGGACAGCAGGGCAGGAAATGGCTGACAGGATGATTTCTAATTGTCTGCTTTCTCCTCTGGCTTTGGGCAGCGCAGGTAATCACATAGGTTAAAAGGTTAATGCTTTGAAAGCAGCATTATTAACCAAAGATAAGTTCCCTCTTTCATACATTACTCTTTATACCAATTATCTCACTTTTACAACGTGATAGTGTTTGTATTATACACTAAAGCCCTATATCTATATGGGACTATTACCTGGAGACTTGTGGAAAGTTGAGAGCTACCCCCCTGACGTTGGTGTTTGGTGCGGCGGGACATTCTCAGGAGATAAGTGAAGTCTGTAATTTGTAAAAGTGTTGAGGTGCTGCATGATATTAGCCTTGTCTCTGGGGGCAGCAGGGGGATTTATACACATAGCTACACCAGGCATAGATCTGCGCTTAAGGGGGGGGGCAAGGCGCCCAAATCCTCCCGTGACAAATACCTGATGTCCACCTACAGTTTGCTCTGTAAAGGCATTTGATTTGAGCCTGTTGAAAGATGGAAAATGTTCCTTACTGTAGTCTGCTAAGCATTTGATCAGTCGAATCACTCCTCTACATCTTGTTTTTCTGATGGACTTTAATTAGCTCTTTCTATCAATGGGTCTCCATACTGTGTAGTGAGAAGAACCAACTGAATGTGCACCCAAAATGCTGTCAAAACCTTTGTTCACAATGTCCAATGCAGCCTACACTCTGCACCAGAGTAAGGTTTCGGACAAATCTGCAGAACCCCCCTAATTAACATTACCAGCCAAAATCACTGAAATGCCAATTCGGACGGGATTACTGTTATCTTTGTGTTTAATGAAATACGGTCAGTGATGCCCTGGAATTTTGAATTTACAAATGATAAACGTGGGTGATTCATACAGGATTAGAAACACAAGCATCCTCCACATTCAATGCACATTACTTGAGGTACCAAGGTGATAATAATTCCTTATGAATAGGGCTTAGTTTAGGACACCTGGCTGACTCATTACATTGGGTCTACATAGCTTGTTGTGCAGATTTTCTGGATTGGTGTCATAGTCCTGTATGTTCAATTATGCCACAATTTAAATTTAATAGCAGGTTTAACTTTTTATAATTTTTTTTGAGGGGGGATGATTGTAAGGAGTATGTTTTGGAGTTGCTGGAGTCGAATTTCTGGGTTAGAGAGCAACTTAATTGAGCATTGGCTGCACAGCAGGTTGCACAGTGTGATGGCTCTTGTTGTTGACTAAGATTTATAGCTTGTTTTTTTTATTCTCTATCTTTAAAGATGACTCATTATCTGAAACCGCCATATGGTACCATCCATGAAATTGTCTATACTCTTTCACCATTTTGATATTCAACCAGGTACTTTTAGATTGTCCTTGTCTACGGCAGCCTTGCTAGATGTTCCCATATGTTATTGGTAGTGTGTGAGCGACAGTAGATCAGAGACCATTAATACAGCAGTATGCTGGTATAGTGGTGTCTTGTGCACAGACATCATCAGTGCAGTCACTGACATGTGAATCACAGTTTAGCCAGGCAGAAAATTGCCAGCAGCCTGTTAATAGGATGCTGTTTAACCAGTGGAAGACTGGAAAGAGGGAGGGTCCGTGATGTTACTGCTTTATGAAGCTGAACCTCTCCACAGCAGTGATAGACACACTATGCACACAAAACATGCATTCCTATGAATGTCCAATTTTAACACATGTAATCAAACACGGTGTTGGTTTAAGTTTTTTTCTTGTTAGTGATGCCAGTGAGATAGATAAATATAGAGTTCATTTCAGAAGCCCTGCACATTTCAGAAGCCCTGCACATTTCAGAAGCCCTGCACAACACAACCATGCACTTATTTTAATTCAGCAAGTGTAAGCTAAGGATTTGTTTTTATTGGCCCATCATAGACAAAACAGAAATTTTGTCATTTTGTCATCATAGTTTTAGAAACCTTTTGACAAATATCATGTCAATATTGGTCATTGGGGGCGGCTATGGCTCAGTTGTCAGTCGTCTCTCAAACAGAAGGTTGGGGGTTCAATCCCCAGCTCCTGCAGCATCATGTCCGATGTGTCTTTGGGCAAGACACTTAACCCCAAGTTGCTCCTGCTGCTTCGTCAGCAGTGTATAAATGTGTATGAATGAGTTTAGTTAGTTTTAGTTAGATGGTCACTTAACATAGCAGCCTCTACCATCAGTTTGTGATTGTGTCGGTGTGACCTGCAGTGTAAAAGCATGTTGACTAGTCAGAAGACTAGAAATGTGCTATACAAGCTTGTTAATCCATTAAAGAAGCTGTAAGCAGACACACATCTATACATTTCATTTTACCGTTTTCCCATGCTAACGATTGGATTTCAGCTGTTTCTCGAGATCTATTGATCTCATTATCGCAGGACAACGCTGGTTTTCCGTGACTTACATTTCTTAAGATCTCCTGAATATATCTTAAATTATCCTATCATGAAAAAAACAGCAATGTTATCCAGAAGATAACAGGATAAGTTGGGATCTTCAGAAAATAACAGTATTTTACTTTTACTCAAGGAAATAAGATGAGTAAAACTGATGCATGTCGGCTTAGGGCTTCTCTAATATGCAGCCAGTAGAAAAATAAATTAAGACAATAATAAATGTAAACTTGTGTTAATGTTTTTTTTAACATAACCACCTAAATCATCAATAAGTCAACAATAAGCTGAAATAATATCTTATTCATAAATCAACACCTGAACCAAGAAAATGCTGTTCATTAGGATTTTATTTTTTGGAGGCAAATCAATGAATATATGCACTTTATACAGTATATGAGGAGCACATCTCTACAGTTTCATAATGTAAACAATCTCTGAAGAGAAATGTATTCAGTTTAAAAGGAAGCCATAGTCTTCTGTTTTAAACTATTTACATGAATTAAAATATAATTTATAACATCAGATACTTCCGCTTCTATGAAACTAGATTTTAACAATTCAAAAATACTGAAATGCCTTTGTCTCCATTCTCAAGACATATGAAATCACACACAAAAAAACGGAGAAAATAACACCATTTAAAGACATCCAAACTAAGTGGCGTATAAATAAAAAAAAAGAAACGCAAAATAAAACCAACATATGTAAAAATATAAAATCTCACTAGCAGTATTTACCTTTTTGTTTTTACCAAAAACTAAGTTAAAAAAAAGAGAGAAATCATTTGTGAATTTGATAGTCATTAGATGTAAATAGACAATAAAATCAATATTCATGAAAACATCAAAAACAATGTATGCCCTTTATGTCAAAATATTTTCTTCCACCCAAAAGAAAAAAACAACCTCACTCACATTACGCAGATTTTGACAGTTTGCAGTCCCTACTAAGTGCCTATTTGACATCACTGTTGCCATCAAGTTGAACAGATTACCCATTTGATTCTGTGTATTTTACAACTGTTGATGCTGAAATGTGATCAAACACGGAAGTGGAACTCGTAATCAGAATCAGGTCAGTATTGCAAGCACTCCTGTCCTGGTAGGGGCCCGACTGATGGTGTGGCTAGCTGACAGATACATTGTTTTCTGAACCAAAGAAACAGGAAATGACATAAAAACAAAGACTTGTTTTTTTTTTTAGTGGGCCATTGGAAACACAACATCTATAAAAGTGAATATGACGTGGCTGTTGAAAACATCACATTTGTTCATGAGCCACACTCTTTATTGTTTAGGTTTTTATTTTTTGGTCAACTTGCCTATCAAGTTTTATGGGTTTCTTGCCATTTTCCATTTTTCTGAAATGAAGAGTGGAAAGAAGGTATTGCATTCTGACACAGGTTATTCCCTTTGGAAGTTTTTTTTTTTTTCATTTATTTATTTTTTTTAAACTTTTTTTTTCATTTATTTGGATTCGTTGTCCATCGACCTAGGACCTAGACCAAGCGGACAGCGGTATTATTATGCTGAAATGTGTCAACGTGTTCTCAAAACATTGAGGAGAATGGTCAACATCAAAGTTTTCTATAAGAAAGTATATAATCATCTAGATATCTACACAAACACACAAATATATATTCATATATATGTATATACCTTTTTATAATATGGCTATTGAAAAAGTTGTAATTACGTCAGTAATTATTTAATAATAAAACCACATTGGATTGGAAAGGAGTTGAAACTGTTATAACAAAAGCTAGTGGTAGCTTTGTTTTCCCCGCGATTGAGTTTTAAGGCTTGCCATGATGAAAATGGGGTTTTGATGTCATTCACCTCCAAACAATGACGGTACCCTCACAAGCACAGCAAGAGCAACTGTAGGAATCCCAATGTATGCTGCACGCTCAAGATGTAGAAACCATAATTCAATAATCATGTTCATCTCAAAGAAAGAAACGCGGATGGATTTAGGGCACATTTCTTCAACCAACCTCTACCTTTCAGTTTTCTCCGGATCTGTTTCAATGCTAAACTCACTGATCAAAAAAAAATCTAAATTTTTGTTCTTGCAAATTAAAGCATGAGCAGCAGCCTGATGCGACACAATCACTGATGCATCGATTCTGACGTCAGGCTGCAAAGTCTTACAAATGCAGAACTCTGAGATCTTTCAGCGACTGTATTTGGACCGATGTATCTTCTGTAACTTCTGTTTGATCGCTGTTCTTTTGATCTAACGCTTCCTTTTGGTGCTGCAGTCACATTGGGTTTTCTACAGTGTCGACTTAATCTGTATCAACTAGTCTGAAACTTCAACGGGTCAAACCAACACGTCTTTCCTTTTCGTATCCCCCGCTTCCTTTACCAGTTATAAACCTATAGTTTATTAGCTGTTACCGTAATACAAGTAAGTGTCCAATGCAATTCAGAACCTGTGCCCATCAAAATGTGGTAATAACATAGTTACAACAGCTTCCTTTTGATGAGAGGAAAATATTGTGAAGGTATTTCACTACTTGGGACGTTATTTGTGCAAGAGTATATTGGTACCATTTCTTTTCTATACGTGTTATGTGTTTACGATGCAACTGCCCCTTTTCTTCCCATAGTATTTTGTGTATTTGTGTATTTTTGTGTGTGTGCGTGTGTGTGTGTGTATGTGTGTTGAACAGCAGTCTACATACAGTTCAGTAGCATATTGAATCCGCAGCTCAAAGATTACCCATGTTGTAGTTCAACAACCAACCATATACTGTACATTATTACCTCAGGTTTTTTTTTTTTTTCCCCCGGAAAGGCTGTCTTAAAGATAAGATTATTATGTATTGCATTTTAAATTGCTTTTTAAGAAAACAAAAAAAAAAACATTGAAAAATATTTCATAAACAGCAAAGAAATAGAACCCGCTAGTGTGGTAGTCTAAAGGGAAACTTGGATCTTTTTTTGTCTTTCTTGAACAACAGTGTCGGACTTTGTGTGTGAAGTCATTTCAACTCAATTTTTCCCTTAATTTCCTCCCTGCACTGAACGAACATGAACTCATCAGAACAACACTGACCTGACCGTCTCCTGTCTGATTAGCAATCAACTATGACCCGCCACCGTTAAAAAACGAACACACAATACAATTTATGTTTACAACGAGGCATAGTGCTATATACACATTTTATATTCATATATTATAATATATTCTTTTTTTAATATGTAAACCAGCACATTCTCTCACTTTTTAGTAGTATACATACTAAGCACAAATACTCATTCAGTTGTTCACAATTAGTTTTGTTGAAATTTCTAGTTTTTTTTTTCTCCGTTTAATTTGAATTGACGACCTTGTTTCTCAATCAGTATGTATAGCACTAAACTGTTGTAGTTAGTTTTGGACATCAGTGAGTCTCAAGAAGGTGCCTCCCTCTTGGCCACTTCACTTGCTGCTTGAATTTTTTTTAAAACACTGAATAAGGCGCCTTTGTACTTAGTGTGCGTTCCTAATAAAGTCAAAGGAGAATCGAGTGATGTAAACATTCAATTTTTTGTGTGTGTTACCAAGGAGTTGATTAGATAGAGCAATGACAAGGAACAGGGTTAGGGAAAGATGGATTATCTGTTAAAAAGCGGGGAGTATACCAGGGGGTTTGGGTAAGACCTAGAAACAAGGCCTTGAACCCACAGAGACAAAAAGCGATAGAGATTTAGTTAGAGGAAGAGTCGGGCTGCGTTTTCTCTTGAAATTCCCGGGCTAGGAGAGGAGGAAGAGAGCAGTCAGTAGGAATGGCATGTCCTTGAAGATTACGAGAAAATGAGGGCAAGGGGAAGCTTGGGAATCTTCCCCTCCAACTGCACTCAAGGACTAACCAAACCACCCACCACTGTTCAACCCCTCCCACCCCGTCCTAACCGACCTGTAAGCGTCAGCAGTGTCCGACTCAAACACGAGACAAAGACAAAACACTCAAGTTACACAAGGACACAAGGTCGAGACTCCAAGAAACAGATACGCTTCAAACCATTATGAGGCCAGCGAAGAAAGAGTCAGAGATAGACAGAGATCATTCCCCTCGCAAGGGGCTCAGTGGTAGGAGGAGTCGTAGTATAAAAAAATCCAACACAAACCCTCAAACTACCCATAACCCCTCCATTTGTTAGGGAAACCCTTACACAGAGAATTTCAGACAAAAAACACAACAGAGCGAGAGACTTGTAAAAGACAGGGGGGGAGAGCATCCAGAAGAACAGATAAATAAAAAGACAAGGTGGAGCAGGGATGGATGGATGTGAGGTAGAGATGCTCAGCTGATACAGTACCTCCCAGACAAGAATTAAGATTCTTGTCTGAAACTTTTATTCGCTATTTTCAAGCCCATCCCTTGCTCTTCCCTGGCTGTGTTGTCGGTGGCGGTGTGATGCCACCATATTGGCAGGCTTGGAAGCTCTCTCCCTTCTCATGGCTGGTGCTACTGGCTGCATTAGGATTGTAAAATAGGTGCTAACCGGACTGCCTCACAAGCCATAATCGGTCACATGCGGTAAACCATACGACTAAGCAAGTCTACCTTTTAAAGCACCAAAAAGCTCCACAATCTTTGGGCAAGCAGAAATGGGGAAAACGCGGTTACATTCAGATTCTTGAATACATTCCATTTGAACCAACAGATTCATCTACCTCTTAACAATGACGTTTTATGGGTGGGCAATGGGGAGAAAAAATTGGTCTCCTAAGTACATTGAATCCAACGTAAAGCTCTAAGGTCACCGAGAAAAAAAGTGTTCCAAAAAGAATAATTGAACGTGATTTGAAATACTTTTGCCTGTAGTGACTGAGGGATGTCATCTGAAAGAAGACACGACTGGTCTGGATAAATGTGCAGGAGTGATGAATTCATACTGAGTTCATTACTAAAAGCAAACTTTATTTCCCCATTTAATTCCTGCTTGCTGCAGTCCAAATGTAAACAGAAACCGTTGCATTGGCTGTGGCATTCGAGGGGTGTCGCCAGGCTTCAGCCTGTATTTGACACATGTTCAGTGGGACCCTATCAAAGATACATTAAGACCCCTCTAGACAGGGAAAAATATACCCGGAATCAACATATGAGGCCCATGTTAACTTTTTAAACCAAAGTTCTGATTAGCCAGGAAGATATTCCGGTCGAGGATATTTGCTGAGTCTCCAAAGCAATTAACAGAATAATCATCTATTTGCCTCGGGTCTGTTTTTTGGACCAAAGAAATGTCAATGTGTCACTGCTAAGGAACTGCTGTGTTGGTTTGGTTTAGCCGTTAGTTTTGCTGTCTCAAAACAGATAATTTAGTTTCCCCTGACTTCCTTCCCTATCAATTCTCACTACATCCCTCTTTTAATCAACCCTTAATTCTAAAACCAGATCAATCCTGCAAATGGATTTAACCCAGACATTAACTGTTAGATAATTATTTCAGAAGGAGTAACGCTTGAAACATGTGTCACTCCTTGCAATAATGTTAATGAGTTCTTAAGCTGAATCAATATCTCAACATGTTCAACAATGGTTGATTTCGAGGGGAATTTTTCCCAGGTCCAAGTTGTGGTCTTAATGTATAAAACATCTACCAAACAAAGCCCGCAGCAGCCAGTAGCAGAAGCGAAAATATTCAGCATGGCAGAGTTAGAGAATAGATTCAGGGGAAGTGGAGGACAGCGGAGACATTTACCTCCTTACAGTGCATAGATCAAATCAAGGAAGCACTACAGTTACAAAAAAAAGAAAAAAACATGATTTTTTTCTTCTTCATTTTAGATTTGTAAACTTCATCAGTCATCAAATGATTACGTTAAATGTTTTATATATATATTCTTTGTCCATAACACACACACACACACAATAGATTTTAAAATTTTTAACATCCACAATTTTTCGCTAAAACAAAGCAGGGTTTTTTTTTTTCCTGGTTATACAACCACACGACTTCATAGCGAACGCAGCTTGCAGGTTCACCACCCGTAACCGGAAAGAGGGAGTTTTATATTTTCTTTTTTACAAAACAAACAGAACAAAGAACACGCAGACGCAGAAACGCACACCACGACGACCAACGCAACGCAGGAATAGCAAGGATTTGCTACAGATGTCTCTCACGCCCGCTCCCCCAAGGCGGGCAATGACGTCACCAACACATACAGCTTTGTTATTGTTGTTCAGCAGAGAACAGTAGCGTTATTGTTTGTAGTTGTACCATTGCTGTTTAAAGTCCTACTTCCTCGGTTGTCTCGTAACTCCTCCGTACGCCCAGTGTCTTCCTCATTTTTAAGCAGTATCCTCCGGTGAAAGAAACTAAAAAAAAACAAGGTCCCTATCGTTACTTTATTCCAATGGTAAAAATGTAAACATTTTGCGAGGTTGCCTTGCATGGAGGTACTGAGAGGCCTGTCGGAGGGCAGAGCCGTGTAGTCAGAGAGTTGATGCTGCAGTTTACTAAGGCTGGCCAGTCAGGGGCACTGTGTTGTCAGCGGTGCAGGGATTTCTGGGCCTCCTTCAGCAGAGTGTCAAAGTCCAGTGCATCGTACTTGCTCTTCACAGGACCCGGACCTGCCTCATCTGTGAGACAAGAAAAATACATTGTTAAACCAAAAAAAAAGTCAAATTTAAAGGAGCAATATGTAACTCTGACACCTGTGTTCAGAATGGGTACTGCAGTCCAAATTCAAAACATTGAAATAAGCTCAGATACGTTATATAGAGAACCTTTGATGCATTATTTTGGTTTCTCACAAGTATCAAACAACCTCTGAGCTGTTTCCACCACCACTGGGACTGTTTCCGTTTTAAAACTGTTCACGTAATTAACCATTGGAACTACTTTCTACTTTGTTAATATTACGTTGGTGGCGCTGAACCATGCTCTAAACCAAAGACTGTTGAGTAATGGTTGAGCCAGGATATACAGTATCTAAAAAAGTTAGGCTAAGAGGTCTTCTTCCCTGGCTGTTACTGAAAGACTGACTAGCAACTTCAGATACAAGAATGATGTCAGAATTCAGAAACTACTAAGCCTACTCAAAGGTGTATGAAGATTGGTGTGTGTGTGTGTGTGTGTGTGTGTGTTCATTACCAAGATCTATGTAGCGTTTCCTTGTCAGCCTCCTTAAGCCTGCAGGTCCATTCTGGAAAACAGTCTCCCGTTCCCTCCGGTGCCTTTGAGGCCCTTGTTGGCGGATCTTTATCACCCCACAGCGCTCCCTAGAACCACACGAGCAGGGCGCCAGAGACGTGCATTAATATGACAGTTTGCTTTTCAGGAAATGAACAAGGTGCATACTGGTGTTGGTAGAGAGTGAACAAGGCCGAATCAATCATATGCATCCTATCATTCAATGTTTACTCAACGAACAGATTGAAAAATGTAATTGGATTGAATCAGTCGAATACAATTATTTTGCAGTGTTTATTGCATCTCGACACGGTTTTCCCCCTCTGGTTGTCAGATTACTTTAGGGAGATTGAGACATACATTTCTGATGACATGCTGTTTACATTTAGAAAGCTCAGTAGGTCACATCTCAATCTAATATGAATTGGCATCGCTGCAAAATAAGTATATAACCTCTATCTGATACACCCTGCCTACACTCCGAATGTGACCCATTTTACATAAACAGGTTTACTATGTCTCCAAACGACATGGAGAAACCCAGATCAGGACACTTACTCGTTGCAGATGATGACTTTGCAGTCCTCTGCTTTGCCGAAAACCTGGAAGCGTTTCCTCAGCATGTTCTGGGTCACGCTGCTTGGCAGGTTGTGGATGTAAAACACCTGGCAGTTGTCCTGGCAACAGGGAAACCATGGCAACAGTAAGGACAAAGGACAATACAGAATACAGGATGGATCAGGAACTGAAGCAGAGAGGCAGAGTGAAGGGCCTAATCCTGAGGCTCAACACTTCAGACCCTTTACATGCAGTTTAATTATCTTAGCTCTTAGCAAAACGCGTCCGATTGTTCCTTATATTAAACTCGTCGGAGTTTTGGGATAGAAGCTATCTCTTCAGGGAATTCTGGTGAGCTGAAAGTTATTGCGATAGAGTTCGTTCGAAAACAAGTTTCTTTCTTTTAACTGCAGCGTGGCATGCAGAATAATGTAGGGCATGAACATTCTCTGTACCTCGTCAGACTTGACTTTGTTCCTCTGCTTGTCGTCAGGACAGATCTCCGAGTTCTCACTGAAAAGAGGGCGAGAAGAAAAGAGGGAGAGAGAGAGAGGACAGTAGGTTGAGATAAGGACAGTCACAAGGTGAAGCTGAAATGTCAGACCTGAGGAAACAGGTGAACTGCGGCAAAAAAAAAAAAAGAAGGAGCCTCTAATTCCCTCTGACTGCAGTACAGCATGGCTCTGTTCTGCATCATCTCTTCCTCATACGCTCCCTCCCCCTTTTTCTATCGTTGCCTTCGCTCTACAGAAGCAATGTGGCCTTATTCTATGACAAGTCAATCTGTAATTTACAAGGAAGAATTAAGTGCTGACCTTCTCATTAAGACCTTACAATCCTCAAATCTAATATTTTCCATTGGTTTGTTTCCATTATGTTTCCAGTCATACACTGTGCTGTTTACACGCTACAGTGACTCAATAATGGCCGATCCCCAATTCCCAGTTCAGGTAGTCAAATTGAATTTGGCTGTTCAACATAAAAACTATTCCTTCCTTCGTTTTTGTTCTTTTAAAACATCATCCCCACTCTGAACTGAATCATAAATATCTGGTCGCCTTGCAGAATGTAAGACGAGACGAGTTGATGGTGCATTCAGACCAAAAGTTTCAAGCTTGTAGAGTCAAAGCTTATATAATTTGAATTCCTTAGAAATGTTGCCATGCATTATTTTACCCAAGTATTTTTTGGGATAAATTTGGATTTAAAAAGCATCACTTTCAGACATCAATGAACAGCTTGTAGGTAGTTCACTGTATGTAGTACATTTAGCTGAGTGAACTACACTAAACCACTGGGATACAGAGTATGAATGTCTAAAATGCCCTTAAATAATGCAGGCTTCTCAGGGTTTCTTATTCTCATACTGTGTTCTACCATTATTATCTCTTTCCCTCTGCCAGATCTCGCTTTTCACCGTCTCCCAAACTGAAATGCAGACAGGAGTTTCAGATAATCTCATCTTCTTGACTCACATCTGATAACCCCTCCCTGATTGTCTGTCTCACCTGGAGTCAGTCTTGCTGGCGGGCGAGTCGGGACACAGGTGGAGAATGGGCGAAGGCGAGCGAGACGCAGACGAGCGTTCTGCCTCTTCCTCTGACGCTGGAGGAGTGGCAGCATCAGACTGGCAGTCTGAGCGTGACGATGATGAGATCACTACTGTCATTGCCTGCTTCTCAAGCGGTTCTTCACCCTCCGACACCAGCAGCCTTTCCTCGCCCGCTGTGCCCTTTGCATCCGAAACCTGATCGCTGACCATTTTGGGTGCCAAGTTGCTAACTCCATCGCTACCTCCTTGTGCCTGCAACATGGCGCCGAGCATGGCGGCGCTCCGCTTGCGGCTCTCTCCGAGGCTCAGCGCACAGTAGTCGTGATCGCCGAACGTGCGGTGGCTGTCACTGTCACCCGCCTGGCCCATGCGCCGCAGTTGGGCGTACAGCTCCGTCTGCTCGGGAAGCTTCCGCTGATGGTGGGTGCGGCTCAGCCAGGATGAGCCCTTCATGGAAACGTTGGTGTTGGTGTTTGCAGCTGGGTGAACTGACTCGCTGCATCTTCCTCCACCGTCCCCACCGCTGCCTCCGCCTGCTCCCTCTCCACTCTTCCCTCCCTCTGCAGGTTTGAAGAGCTCATCCTCCACAGGTTTGTGGGGCGGGGTGGTGGGAGGGGTGAGACCTGAGGGTGAGGGAAGTGATATCAACAAGAGCATGATAAAAACAAATACTTTCCTTTTAATGAATAGTCCAACAATTAAAACCTTCTATGGCTAAAGCTTTTTTTTTTTTAAATTTTATAACATTTTTTTCCGGTTTCAGGAGTACAGGAGTAACTCATCCATCCTTGCCTCTTTGTGTTTGTTTGTTTGTTTGTTTGTTTGTGTTATTGTGATTTCATTGGCAGACCAGTAGCTACCATTAACCCTCCAAATAACTGGTTTTGTAAATGGAATTTGGTGCTTTTGAAACACTGAAACAGCTCTTTCTAAAAAAAAAAAGAAATATCTCTTTAGGGGTCATTTCTGGGATATTGTCAGACAGTTTCAATAAATTAGCCTCTTAGTGGCAAAAACAAGGACTTTCAGAGGATGTAATTTGATTGGGCGCATGACCTGAAGATTACTTCACAGTCATTTAAGTCAGTTTTTCAGCTGAAGCGACTACCAGAGGAAGTCTATAAACTTGTTGTAAAAATGAGTTATTTAGACCCCATCAGGCCTTGGTGGCAAATAACCAGAATCCGCCTTTCATATTTTTAAGAGACGTGGTAGTGTTATTGATCATTAGTAACCTGTTGACATTAATGTACACCCAGACAAACACATAAGGAGACACGAGATGTATTTACCTGCCGTTCCACACAGATCCACACCGAGCGTCTGCTCGAAAGGCTTGGTGCTGTACTGGGACTCTCTGGGGAAAAGGCAGATCAAAGGAGAGGGAAAGAAATTAAACCCTGCTGTGTCATGTTGGAATTGGTTGTGTTTCTCAAACACTCAAGTCAACTGGAATCCAATAACAGCTTAAAAAGGCTCTCAGTGGAAGCTCCCTCTTTTTTCCCCCTGAAATAAAAGCAGCACACTTTCAGCTGATGTCTGCTGAATTTGAATTATGTCCCCCCCTGTAAATGGTACTGGCATTTTCTCTGCGCTCCTCATTTCTTATCACAACAGCCATATGTACTCCGCTGTCCTCTCCCCCTATTCTTCTCCTGCTTTCTATTCCTGGCTGTCTGTTTCTGTTTCTCCAGTTGCCATGAAAGGCAGGAGCGGTGCCGAGTGGTTTGGCTTCAGGCGGGATATTACTTACCCTCCACAGAGAACAGGAGAGTACAATAAAATAAAATAAAAGTACTTTTGTCTTTTTTGGTGAGCCGTCTGAAGACAGATTCATTCTGTAGATGGAAGGAGGCCAGTTGTTTGTGCAGGAAACACATTTAGCTTTCCAGACTGGTCTGAACTGGAAATGTTCCAGGGTTTGAGGCAGGGATGGGTGGGGAGGTTAATTTGGAAAAGTAATAGCAGAGAGAGGGCACTCTGTCTGGCACAAATTAAAACCTGAATAAGCCAGACAGGGCTCCCAATTCATTAAGGGCCTTGAAATAAATTTGTTGAATTTCTGCCTGGTTTACGTCATTACACATTCAGGATTTTTAAACCATCTTGTGAGATTAAACATGACATGACTACAAACTGTGCTTACTGATATGCTCACAAAAAGTTCCAGCGTCAACTTTTTTTAGCTATCTTTGTACTCCCTTAAAAACTTTTAGTGGGACACTCCTAGGATGTGTTCTGCAGTTGAGCATTGGTGTGCTGAATATGACCATGTACATGAGAATCATGTTTTGTGACGGTCAGGGGTCACAACTGTTTCAAAGACTTTCTACCTTACCAACACATGTGTTAAATAATGACTACTGCCAGATTATGAAGCATTAGATTATATAATTGACACAATGACGTAAATACACAAACAAAAATCAATTAGTGCTGACTTCACCAGCAAAGGTGATTAACGCAGTCATTTCCATGTTTACAGGCGTTAGATTAGTTCAGCTGAAACAATCCTCTGCTCCTTAATGGAGTCTGCCATCGCTCAGTACTCTATACATTAACAATTCCTGTGATGTAACATGCAACGTCCATTGAATACATTTGGAATTTATTTCAGGCTCTGAAACACCGCCAACGTCTTTGTGCCATTCACACACTGCTCCCCTCTCTTCAACCTGCAGCAGCTTGTGTTCATTTATGACTGAAGATCTGTAGTTTTTTTTTTAACACTTTGTGACTGATTAGGCCCCCAAACATTTTTTTTTGGAAGTTATGAATCTTTTTAAAATCTCAGAAGATAAGAATCTAGATTTTGACATGAATCGATTTTTTCCCCCCACCTCTATGTCAAAGTAATCGAAAAAATTGTACAACCTCATCATGTAGCATCACAAAAAACCTGTTAACACATAACAAGGGCCTGATGCACTCATACGAGGATGATTCAGCAAGGCTTAACAGCTGCTTCTTAAAGGTTGGTGCTGCATGGAACAAGGAGTACTTTTACCCAGCTCGACTGTATGATGAAGCACAGCAGGTGCTTCATGCAGAGATACTCACCCTCTGGACTTGGGGTTGAGAGGCAGACAGAGGCAGGCTCGCTTTTCTGTAATCAGAGGGGGAAAAGTCAGTTACAACCTTGTCTGCCAGTTGTCTTCAATTAACAATGATTCTGAGCGTATGAATGTGTGGTTTTAATCCTGAACTACATTCACACTGCTTGAATGTCTTAGCTGTGGTATTTCCTCATCCTAGTTTGACTCAGATCTTAGTAATCTGGCTCTCATGGATTGTGCTTGAAATCCTATATCATTCAGTTTGTCATCAAAAAGAAGACATCAAATAGAAAATAAAAGCCTGAAGTATGAAGCCTGTCTCTTTTAACTCACCGTTATGGCAGCAGGGTTTGTCCACTTCCGTCGTACTGGCGCTGCCATCACCTGATGTTAGGTGCTCCTGCTCCGTCGTGGTTACACCTCCAGCTTGGGTTGGCAGGAGTTTAACCCCTGCTCTTCCCTCCTCTCTCTCCTCCCTTTTGCTCCCCTCTCCTTCCCTTGCTCGTCCAGGCCGCAGCCTCTTGGCGAACCGGCTGGGGAAGGAGGCCAGGCGTCGGGAGCGACGAACCGAGAAGGAGCCGCTGTCCTCTGCTGACTCCTCTGGGATTTGAAGGGTCTCCGAGGAATAGTTTCTCCTCTCAGGGGAGGAAGAGTCTTTACGAAGCTCTGGTTTAGGTGTGGCGGAGCTGTGGGAGAGGGCATGAGCTGATTTAACCAGGACAGAAGGAGCAGATGCTCCTCCTCTGTTGGGGCTGTGAGAGTGGGAGTAGGGAGGGCTGTGCAGTCTGTAAGGCTTGCTCACATCATAAGAGCTGCTCTGCTGCAGGAGCTCGCGGAGAAGGGAGTTGGCCTTCATCTCCCTTCGTCTTGCAAAGGGGAGTCTCCTCGGGGCACTGTTGCCTGTCCCTGTCAAGCCCCCACTAGTCCCTGGAGTAGCCACCAAGACAACTCTGCTGTGGGAGTTTGCCACGGCTGGGCGGGACGCTTCAGGTCTGGCCCGAGGCCTCTGGAGGTCTCGGTCCTTACGGTCCCAGCCCTGCTGCTTGCGTGTGGCAGGCAGTAGGTGTGCATGTATGTGATCAGCTCCACCACTGAGCGCAGTTCTTTCTCTGAGCTGAACTGAGGCTTTGCCGGCTCAACAGGGGCAGCATTCACAACGGCCACGCCCTCCACCTCACTGCTGGAAGACTCCTCTTCTTCTTCCTCCTCCTCTTCATCCTCCTCGGACTCACTGTCCTCGTCCTCTTCTTCTTCTTCTTCATCCTCCTCCGTGTCTGGGGCCGGGACGTCCTCCAGGTCCTGGGCGGTGGTGAGGTGGCGGTGTAGCTCGGTGCACAAGCGACCCGCCGGGCGCACAGCTCGAGGCTTGCGCTCCTGAGGAAGGCCACTCTGAGGGCAGAGAATGGGTAAACCATTAGGTTATGAACTACGATTTTGCAGCCTGGAGTTAAAACATTTTTGCCACCTCGGTTTCATGAAGCCAGAAGTGGCCATATTTGGACAATAATTTGTTAATGCATTGCTAAACATTAGAAAGAATGAGGATTCAACACTCTTCTACATTGGCTTTATTTTTTAAACTAAGAGGCTACTTCCATCTTCTGTAAGCAGTCTATCATTCAAACTAAATTTCTGATGCAGAGAGTCAACCTTAGGGGGAAACGACCTGGTTCTCTGACTCTGTGGAACAGACCCGAAAACCTGGTATTGATGCTTTAGATTAAACATTCTTCATTTTCCACAGAACTTCACTGTGTCTATGCCACCAAATATCTCATCTCACTGTCAACAGTTGTTCATGGAACAAGAAAAATGAACCACCTTGCACCAACAGAAACAGACTGATGAACTCATGGGCACATCTTCAATTTCCTGCCCTGGATTCAGGAACACTGAGCAACACAGATGCAGTAAATGTTGCTTCCGACTTTGTGCAGGATGATTCAGTGTGCAGCTGCAATGAAATGGCTGATTCTATATTACTCATAGAGAGAGAAAAAAAAAAAAAAGATAGAGAGAGACTGTGATTCACTGTTGCACTCTTGCCCTGTCAGTCAATACTCCCGCCATCTGCCACAGCAAAGCCACACTGCTCTAAGACTAAAGCTTAAACACACACACACACACACACACATACACACTGCTAGCAACAGGGAGGTTAGGAGGTTGTGTGATGGATACAGGGTTGGCTTATCCCAGAACCGCATTCTGGTGTGTTTGTATTCTCTGTGCTTAATCCAGAGCAGAAAGCTGTCTGAAGGCTCACCATGCTCTGTGCTGGTACAAGATAAATGACTGGTGTTGTAATCAATGACTACTTGAAGCGCAATGCTAGAAGCCACCCAATTACTGCTCAGTCATACAGCAGTAGTCATTGTAAATGTCCTCTCTTCTACCAACGTCACATCTATCACAGGCAGCAGCTGAAGGTTTCTTGAAGCTTGAAAAGTTCTGAGCATAAAGTCAAATGAAAATAAGCTCAAACTTACTCAGAAGTGGACGATTCTGTCAATAAAGCGTGGCATAAGCCCTCCTATGGACTTAACTGTTATAAATGGTCGAAGTCTAGCATGACACTTCCTGAGATGCTACTGGCAATGTTGACAAGTTCATTTTTTTTCCAGAGGAAAGCACCACATTCAACTCTAAACATCCATCAATACTTTCACTAAATCCTCCCCAGCAACCTCCTAGCTTTTCAAATAAAAAAAAACATGCATGCATGAAATAGTGCAGTGCTAGCTATTCAATGGGAATGTTAAAGGCTCAGAAAAATGTTGGTCAAAAGAAATTCAACATTAAATGTTGGCATCAAACCAAGTCAACACCATCCAACAATCTCTCTAAACCAGTGGTCCTCGACTCGTCTAGCCTCAGGACCCACCACCAACTCCTCAGTGAAAAATCAAGACCCAAATTTCAGATCTCTTTCGACCAATCAGATTGATTTTAATGAAAAATTGTGGCGCTTGGACCTCGGTCAGTACAAAACATGTCACTGAAGCAAGAAACTGAACCATACAAACATGTTTAAAAACACTTCACAGACATTCACACATTTGCGACCCACTGATAATGGCTCCGTGACCCACCTTTGGGTCTCGACCCACCAGTTGAGAACCACTGCTCTAAACAAACCCCACTTAAGAGTTTTTGCAGCCTTCTACCATTTGCTTTAAAGAAGAGCCTTTGCAAGATGAGCACAAGAGATAACTTGAAATGAAATAAAAATAGCTGCTCAAAGTTCCTGAACAACTCAAATTTTCCTAGCAAAAAAGAAAAAATGGTTGATAATCTTGACAAAATCAGAACCATTCATCATAAAATGTTGAAATCTTGACACTTCTTGGTCTGATTCTCATCAGCGAAAATCAAATTGCAGACACCTGCTTGAAGTGAACGACAAGAGTGATGCTGACTGAAGAGTTTTATGCAACAGTGGATTACTCCAGCTCTATCTTGCTACCGCTCTGGATTGGAAAAATCCAATTTTGGTTCGCCTTCAAGAGACACAAGGAAGGAGCATGTGAGTACAGAGATGTGTGACCCAGAATAGAACAGAACAGACTGCGTCAGTTCTTCCCAACAAATGAGAAAAGGTGGAGTAATGGGGCAAAGTTTAAAGAAACTTGTGTCTACCATCTTTCTCTGACCTTAAATCAACAGGTATTAGCACAACAACTACTACAGGTGCTTTACCTTGACCAGAGGTCGGACTGGCCGCAGATGTAGGCTTCTGCTACTGTAGCGCTGGCCGGGGACTCTATCCTTGTGTGCGTCGATGCTTGAGGGCACATTGGGAGGAGTCAGCAGCAGCTTCTTCAGCTGGTGAGGAATGAGAGGGAGGAGAATTCAGTTAGGATGCACATACATAAATGGTACTTTTTCTTTTTTTACTACAGAGGCAAATTTCATGTGAGGACTTAAGGGATAGAAAGAGTGCATTCGTCAAAAGTGGTAAGAATATGGGAGGGGGCGGGGAAAGAAAAGTTAAAGGCTAAATATGTCTTGATGACACATCTGTAGTTAAATATTACAACTTTTTACATATTTTATTCAGAACACCAAACGAGACGAGCTGATAAAACGAGACAGCTTTACAGTGAGATAAAAGTGTCCAACATTTGGCTGCTTCAGCCTTTCATTCCAATTTCTAATCTATATTCTGTCGGACGTTAACTCCCTGCAGATGGATGTTTGTACAAGAGAATAACGTGCGGGAAAGGCCACGAGGTTACGAAACTGTACATTCATCACATCCCTAAAGCTGACAGCTACATGGCACATTCACGTTTCCCATTAAAGAGCAGGATTCGACCATTTCTCTCTCTATAATGGCACAGAATATGACTTATTTTCCTCTCTTTACTCCTCCATCCTTCTATCCTAAGTATGGCTCATGCTTCCCATCTTTCCTTGCCTCTCTCCTTTCTCTACCACCTAGTCCCAGCCTTCTTCCTTTCCTTTAATCCCGTTCCGGCCTCTCGCTTCTTTACCTGTTTTCATTCATAAATCTTTGCCATGTATCTTCCCAATCGTCTCCCACTTCATCTTTCCTCTATCTCTCTTAAAGTCATCTTCGTTGGAACCATACACTTTCCCATCAACGCTGTCCTCTTCCATCTCCCTATCAATCACATTTAATGTTATCTTTTACCACACACCCATTCCTCCTCTCTGTCTCCCTCCTCTTCCCTCAGATCAAACAGGAATAAGCAGTTAATACACGGAGAGGGAAACAGAACAAACCCCTCCTGAATCCTTTCCCTGAGTATTACCTTTCAAATGGATATTACCACAACTGCTCCTCATTTCCCACTATCCTTTCATTGTTTTTTTTTTATCCATCTGTCTATTCATCCATTCATCCCAGGGCCTATAGCTTCATGACAGGGCTATCAGCTGATATAAATCAGCTTAGGGAGAAAATCCCCCGTTAAGCCGTGCAGCGTTCACTCCAGGAGAAGACAATGCAGAAAATACAGATGTGATCGGAACGGGGATTGGAGCAGGAGGGGCCCCCCCCAGCAAAGGGGTCTGCACAGTAAATGAAAAACACTTCCTGGCATAGTGCGGCCTCAAAGAAATGAACACAACTTATGAACACTGCAATGATGATTTGGTTAATGTGTTTAAATCGCATGGCAAAAAAAACCATTGGAAAGTCAATGGGGATATTTCTTGAAATCCTCTAGAAATTGATGAACATAAAGCATGATGAAGTTTGCTTGAGACGTTACTAGTTGCTTATGTAATGCACATAATGAAGATACTGCATTGAGCTGACTTAATGACTTACTTTACGCAAAGCCATCACCTTTTTCTGAACCTAAAGAAGTTTCAGCGTTGGTGGCTAAAACTATGAAGAGCTACCATTTACTGTAAGAGTAGACAGTATCACTCCTTGAAAATCTTTTCCACAGAAATACAAAAATAAAAAGAATGTATTCTGTTTGCAGGGGGGGGGTTCCTCACATTGTCTGACACCTACCCCCCCTCCCCAGCAGCGGATTCAGATATTGAAAATAACTATATCGAAGGAGTCAGTCTTTATGCAGATGGTCTTGTTTGCATTTCTAGGTTACAAACAAGGTATCAACATTCATTTCTGTCTGTTTCATAACCAGAAAGAAACACCTCACGGGAGCTTTGAAAGGGTCGCTTTTGTTCGCTGGTAGAGCTGGAATACCCTGCACAGAGGCTACAGCCCTCGACACATCGTCCGCAGGTTCAACTACCAGTCCGGGCCCTTCAGTGACTACCCTGCTCTCTCCTCCACACTATTCCTTGTTTCCGCGATGAAGACACATGATTGTAAATGTCAGTACAAAATATGAAGAGGTCGATGTAAATTCATGTATTTCAGGGTTAAGATATGGAGCCAGTCGAAAACAGGTATTTTACAATGTCAAATAGTTAACTAACTAGTACACAGGTTACCTAACCTAACCTAAATATTTGAGCACAAAAATTGTAGTGTTAAGTCAGAGACAGGATGTTTAAGTGTGTTAGCCTGCTGGATAGTTACCGGTACATGTAATAACAGACAGGAGCACAACAAGTTCAGGAAAAAATTCCTTCATCACACTTTAATTCTAATTGAGTAAAAGTGCTTTATATCCATGATTATCTAGCCCTCTTGTTATTAACACATCATTATCTTTGTTATTTTATCTCCCACTTAACCTTTACAACGCTGCCAGAACATCTATAAATATACTCAACCTACTGACCCACCTCTTGTACAACTTTATATTTGCAACTACAGACATCTGAGAATGGCATTTTAATACCACTTTATTGGCCTTAAAGGTTGGGAAGCATCTTTATGAGAAAGTCATTTAAAACATTGTGGAGGTAAAGTTCATTTTAAATCAAACGGATGACGCAGGAAGCATAAAATGATTCTTCTGTGAGAGAAATAGAACTACAAAATGTTTTGATGGTGTTTTTTTTGCAGGTTGTTGTGCAGGGGTAATAGTTCAACCACATTCTGTGTACAACATCACTGCATAATGCATTACTGCATATTAACCTAATGTTTTAATGAATACAGTTGGCTGGCTGTAACCACAAAATACTATCCGGGTCAGATGACTGACAGGACTATCGCCCACATCATTAATGGGGCCACTGTGGCCCTTTAGTTGGCGAGCCAGCTTGGCTCAGACTGCATGATGATGCTCCTCTAAAGTCTCATCGAGGGAAATGAAGAGGATACTGAAGGTTTGTGTCTGTGTGAAACACTGAAAGCCCTCCGGCAGCAACCGGGCCCCTCAAACACTCTCTGCTTTACTCTACTCTACTCTGGACGCCGTCCAGAGCTGCACAGGAAGCATCAATGAAGGCCTTGTTCTGCGCTGGGACAAATACACACATTCTCCACACACACACACACACACACACACACACACACACACACACACACACACACACACACACACACACACACACAAACACACAGGCTAGGAAAAAAAGGAGGCGCTATTGCAATCATGCAAGAGTAAGGTGACGTACACATAAATAACAAATACAAATACGTCAGTGGAGAAACAAACAAGAACAGAAACACACACATTACAGAACAGCTGATTGGCTCAACAATGAGGAAGTAAAGACACAAACTAATGGTGTGAGCAGGTGGGCAGCACATGATGGAGGTGATGTGAGCAGGACCGTTTGAAATCGTTTTAGATACTGTCTATGAAAAGCCATCTTAGTTTTAAAAATAGACCACAGTCGGCATTGCTTGTTGAACTTAATCCTTATTATATTAAAGACGACTGAAAGTGTGTCAGTATTTCAACGTGTGCAATCTGAAAAATCGGCTCAAAATGCAATATCACAACAGAAACTCAAACAGTACGGCCAAACAAAAACAAGAGACTACATAGAGCAGCAGTGAAGGGAAATGTAAAGACAGAACAGAGGGACACTAGACGGATGTGAAATGATAAGAATGGTAAATAAATATATGAAAAATAAACAATAATCATATGATTATGACAATAAAAAGGACACAAGAGAGTCTATTAATATAGGATTTAAAAAAATATATATTTAAAAGAAGCATCAGATTCTCCCAGCTCTATCACCTCGGGCAGGCTCATTTGGAGAAATGAGACGCTCAGCTTTGAACTAATCATAGATCAGAGTAAGTATTTGGTTTGTACAAGAAAATAATCACAAATACTGTTTTCACAAAACTGCATTTTAAAATGTGTGGTTTTCTTTATATATGTCTTTAATGATTCAAAGCTTAGATATAATCACTTCATATCAATCTATCAATTCATTTATAACTCTTAAAACACTAGATATCTGTCTTTATATTTAGTTAGACAGACTTTTTTGTAATATACATATCGACTTACTGAAACGAGAATTTAAATATGTTAATCAAATGACATACAGAAAAGAGAGATACTTATTTTTGTATTTTTTTCATATAAGAAGTAGGTCCATAAGAGGTTTAAATAGTTAACATAAATTGTTAAATATGGATGAACTTGCAGCTGTATCTGATTCCAATCAAGCTTTTAAAGTTACTCATCACTTAATGAAGTACGCATGCAGTTTATTTGAGAAGACACACTTTTTTCTTTATCACTCCTCACCAGTAGAGGGCAGCGCCACACTCAGGCCTGAGGACATGAGTGACAGCAGTCGAGTGACGGTAAACCACTCAACTGATAGAAACAGAGGATGAAGGAGACACACACACACACACACACACACACACACACACACACACACATCTGGCAGCTTTGGTAGAGTAGACAGAATAATGTAATTACAGCGGGCTTTTCTGTGAGAGTGGATGTGAATGTCAGGTTGCTATTTTTGACATTGATATGGAAACAGAGGATGCAGGATACTGTGACATGTATGGCAATGTTTAAATGTCCTGTTTGTTTGTTTTATCAGAGATCCTGAAATTGCACTGAGATCTCTTTTGGCCGAAAAGGACAAATCAACAGACTTAAAAATGAGATATGAGACTGACCCAGGAGCTTGCAAATGTAGGGTGTCGACTGCTTGAACAACTGTTTCGGGTTTTCCTGTTCTTTGGGAAAAATACCCATTATTGTTCATCAGTATACCTCACAAAAAAAACATACGAGGCATCTTATAACTCTAGAAATAGAAAACTCTGACGTGTTGTCAATCACAAACTTGCTGCCTGGAGGAGTACCAAGACAACACTCCAGGGAACTGATTTTTAAGAAGGTGTGGTAGAAAGAACAGGGATAGAAATAGAGGTGGAAAGTGTAGAAGAAGCCTTGCAGCAACTACAGTAGTAATAGTAGTAGCGGTGCATTGGCAGTGTGACAGACACAGGGACGTGTGTGTGTGTGTGTGTGAGGAAACTTTTGGGAAAGTGTGTTATCTTGCCAGCTGTCAGAGGAATGAAGCAACAACCAGTTGACTGAGTGCATCTTGTCTGAGGATAGAAGAGGCTTTTTCAGCACGACTGTTACAGAATCGGAGGGAAAACTAGCTGGAACGACACGCTGTGCTGGTGCAGGATGAATCATGCGTGATTACAGCAGCAATAAAATACAGCCAACATTGGGAAAATTTATGAACAAACCTTTTGTAATAGTTCTAATAAAAATTGGTTTCAGATTGAACCAGAAAAAGCTATAAACTAGGGATAAAAATGTCTCCCAGATTTCAAGCAGAAAACTACATTTTTTCACACTCAGATTTAAATTAAATTCAGCACCCATCTGTCACAAACTTAAAGACCGATACCTCCCGGTCTGCTACCTCACTCTAAGTCTACTTCATGTCCTAGTTCTTCAAACTTCTTTTATAATGGATACATTTTTCTTCCTTTTTCAGAGTTTTAATTGCGCCATAAACTGCATGAAGAAGGTGGGCATAGCCTCTTGGTTTTACAAGTGAATGCAATTAAATACACCTACATCCTTTATAATGTGCCACAGGAGGCGACTCCACCTGTTGATAGTTTCAAGGTTATTCCATTAAGCATCATAGGTCTGTAATTGTTGGTCCCATTTTGAGTAAAATATAAAATTAAGCATGTCGTGCTTTAGTGCAGGGCTACCAGTGATTGACAAGTCACTGCCAAGGCTAACTGCAAACCAAGATGGAGCAATAAGGATTTGTATCCAACCTTTTAAGTCCTATATGCCCACTTCTGACTCCAACCTTGATGCTTCATATTGGTAGTGTTCAAATTAAAGGGTTACATGGAGTTGAAAATGTCTATTTCCTACATGTAGTCTTTGGTTTGCACCCATAGTTATCATAGTAACTTCCAAACATTTCGCAGAGCAAGACAAGAGATGTGTCATGGTGGGTTTATAACTACTTGCAATGTAACAGTAACTAGTCAACATAATCTGCCAATTCTCATTTGACCTTCGGGGTCGTTTTTCACTAGATGAAGGTGGAAACTGTAAAGAAAAAAAAAAAAAACAGCAGGCGTAACTGATTAACCACCAGCCTACCCTCATTCTTATTTTGACAAGAGTTGACTGATAACCAAGGAGCCTTCAAGGTGAAACAAGGGCAGAGCAGTCATGTGTGAGGCCACAATGTTTTGCAAGACAACAGTAAGAATGATGGCATCTGGTGGCCTTAGCTCTCAGTGTCACAAGGTTGTTGTTTTGGACTAAACAATACCTCCATGGCATTTAGCAGCAACAAAACTAGCTCTGTCTCCCTGTGTCCTGTTTGCTGTCACCATAGTGCACCCTAACGCTAAAGGATATCGCTTGGCAGCCAAACTATCTTTTATTCTTTTACTAAGGTCATTACGGTCATTTCCACCAATTTGGAAGGAATGCCCCTTCCTCCGGCTATTTTTCTCTCTGATACCAGTAAGATGTGAGACATCCTGTAATACTTTCCAAATTGCTGGTACAGGCTTATGTTCACATATGGGTAAAATATCACATCTTGCAAAAGTCCCTAAATGTTAAAGCTTGAAAAGTAAAAACTGATGTTTACTGAATATGTCAGACTGAGAATCCAGTGTGCCACCTGAATTAAGAGTTTGATTGGTTCTCAGAGTAGGAGACCTTTGAAGAGGAGAAAAACTCTGTGAACACCCACTCTAGGGTCATTTTGAGATTCTTCTTCTTGCAGTTTGTAAAGCCTGCTGTACTGTTTGTTCAGCAGTGCCAGTCAACTCGGGGTCGTCTCAAACCGATGAATCATCTTATCAACTTGTAGGTGGCAGCCATTATTTAAGAGTATCATTTTGTGCATTCTGCAGACAGTATGTACCAAGTTTTAAGGCAAACCATCCAAAAGTAGTTGAGATATGTCACACCAAACCAAACTAAACGACAGGTGTAAAACGTCTAAAAATAAGGTGGGTCACCAACATCATTAGTATTCATTCTCTGGCTGCCATGGACGTCATCTAACAGCCACTATAACATCAAATGTCAAAAGCAATGAATCAAATATTGAAGTAATTCTGGATAAATGGTGGACTTATTGAAAGATATTAAACTAGGTTCTATAGCCAACATGTGGGATCATGAAACCTGCCTGTCTGTTTAACTTTCAGTCATTTACAAACCTTTTTCAGATGTTTTTCCTGCAAGCGAGTATGAGTCCTGTTGTTCACTCAGTCCGCATCCTTGAACCTAATTTATTTCTCAACAGCCAACCTTTCCTTGAAGAGCCTAACAAACCCTCTCTGACAGACCTTTTATTTACTGCATGATTTGGTGTGTTATTACAAAAGGGAAGGCAGTGCAGCTCTGTGAATATTTACGCTGTAGGTATTCAGCCATCCGGCATGAGTCACGACCTCCAAACAATGGTATCTTTGTAGACTCCCACTAAATCAGAGGGCACAAGAAAACCCTGTAAGCAGTTCTTTTGCTGTGAAATTTAAGTCAAATTAAGGAAGCTGGCTGGATTCATCTTGACAAGTGCAATAGGGCCGCATTACAGCCGTAATCATAAGTCGTTTGTTACAGCGAAATAACTTCCTGCTTCAATTAAGCTCTAGAGCGGGTGCAGGCCTGCATTCTCCTGACAGCAGAGCAAACCAGAGGAAAGTAGGGCACGATATTCACTGTAAAGGGATACAGCAATTTGTTGTTCCCGTTTGATTAGATAGAGGTTAAAGTTTTATGGTGGGACATAGTTCAGGTGCAGGCAGGGGCTGATAATGGGGGGGCTGAGTGAGGACAGAAAAACAAGTTCTGTTCTTGGAAGTGTAATTCAGGGAACGTTGGAGGGGCCTATAGAAACAGAAAGCGAGACAGAGGCATCCAGCAGCACTGTGTGAAAAGAGACGGGGGGGGAGGGAGGGGGGGCACATGGTTCACAACAAGTAATGTACACTGGAGCACGTGCTACAGGAAGGACCACACATACATTTGTATCATACGTTTGTTATTTTTTTTTATCCCTAAACCAAATGCCTGAAACTGATTCCGATTACACGTTTTTCTTTCTGCCTATCGCAGCATTGTCTCTACCATTTATAGTAGTGTCAAACACCGCGAAGCAAATGCTGAGAGTTGGGAGCGTCACTACAAAACCAAAGTTTAAAGAGTGAGGAGTGTCACATTTCCAGACTTTAGAAGAACAGAAACACCGGTTAAACTTCACAAAATATTATCTACATTTTAGTTCTAGGTCTCACTTAAGCTTCCACCTTTCTCAAGAAGAAATGTAAGGACACAAAACAAAAACACATAAAGACCCTGGATCCCTTTTTGTCTTCGGTTAAAAAAAGCCTCTTGTGGTAAAAAAACATATATTTCATCTGTTTAATAATGTTTTCGTAATTCTTTACTATAAATATTTGTGATTTTTGTTTCTATAGATAGAGGTAAAGAATGAGCTCTATTTGGCGTTTCCCCTGTTAGTCATGACATCTTTCTCAACATTAGCTTCTTTTTACACAAAAAAAAAACAGGCTGGTAAAAGTCTATTTTTAAACCAGTAATGACCTTAATGCCATTTAATTTTATACCGTTTAATGTCCCTTAAAACAAATTCAATATCTACACAACCTCCTTAAAAAAAAATGTATGCAAAGTGCTCTCAGTATGCTGGATATTAACCTCTTGTCTATCACACACAGACACACACACCCCGCACACAAACATGAGACAGGACCGGATGAAAGGTCGCTGTGTGCCTCGGCGCCCCTCTGTTTTCCTGGAGTTAAAGGAAGACTTTGAACGTAGCGGGGCCAACACGGGGAACATCAAGGTTAGCAAACGCGGCACACATTAGAAAGAGGGAGGGAGGGCATGGGAAAGGAGAGGCACAGACTGGCAGGGGCGAGAGTCAGCTGAGAGGGAGCGGCGGGTATGAAACACTCCACTTCAACAGGCGCTGGTTTTTTGAACTGTGAGAGACTTTGTGATTCAAAGAGCAACTAAAGGGAATCACGGGGGTGTTGCGGGTGAAGATCAAGTTCTTAAAGACGGTAAATGTTCAGATATTTGATGTCAAAGAGATGCAAGGGACTCTTTTGGGAAGATTGGATCAGAGGTCCTTCCACTTAATGTTTTCTTAATAACAATGCCCAGCAGCAGAGAAAATCTGCCCCATTCACATAAAGCATAGAGGTGTTCTTACTAGAGATGGGTCCTCTGTCTCGGCCCCCAGGGTCTGGCTGAATTCCTCGGCGTTGAGAGGAAGACTGTCTTCTTCTTCCTCCTCCTGGTCAGGCTCCTCCCCCAGGGCAGGGAAGACGGAGAGCCCGCCCACTTCTGCATCAACCATGCCATCCAAGCTGTCGGTCAGAGCGGCCAGTAGAGCCGCATTCTCCTCTTCTATCTGAATGAGTCAAAGAAAAGTGAGAAAGCTTGTGAGAATACACACCGATGGAAAGGAAGGAAACGTCCGTTGAGCTCGGCACATTTCTAAAGTTTTAGACAAACTCATTTGACCAGAGGGCTGACACAAAGAGGAAGTCCTGAAAAGTGCTCAAATATGGGAAAAACCCCATGTCAAGGTCATGAATGAACTTTTAATTTTAATTTCCAATTATTTTTTGACTAATGAGCTTTTGGGGAATCCAATCATCCTTCTTTTTCTGCCTTGTCAACCTCTATTTTAATAACTTATTTCCTTCTCCACTAAGAACCCGACAACACTTCAGCTAAGCAGCCTCGCTCTCTGAAATGTTTCAGGAGAACATACCGGTCTCTTTTCTATGACTTCTGCTTGTTTGATTATTGAAAATCTGAGCAGCATTGTCAGTGACTTTCATATATGTCTTCGCTTGTGCCATTCACGAGGCCAGAAGACAACCACACCCACGTCTGGTAAAGAAACCACTTTCATGGTGAACAAACTGGTGTGATGAAAGTTTTTAAAGTTCAATGCTGTAATTTTTTAACCTCTGTTTGATCCCGCTCGGCCAATCCACAGAAATACTGCAGAGGGGAAAAAGAGTCATTGAAAGCATTTGGAAATAACCGACCTCTGACACATCTTGGCATGTGTGCTGCATTTACTGTCTGCTTGGAAATTATTGTTCTTAGCAAATATAAAAAGTTTGAGGAGTCACTGTGTCACTGGTGTCTCACTCTTGAATTCCCTGTCCTCTTAACGTCCTCCTCCACATCTACCAGCTTATGTACAGTCATTTCTTACCTTGTTTCTATCTTACTGACTTAAGCAAAGAGAATAACACAAAAGGTTTGCATGACTATGCATATGTTTTTTTACTGAAGGTACGGACCAGTTGGTTCAACTATCTGCAGTCTTGGTTTCGAGGGATAGAATTGAGCACATCCAAAGATAATCAGAAGAAAATAATATCTGTGATTTCAGTCCAAATATGTGCGTTTCCATCCTCCATCCCTCCTGTGACATGCACACTTTTTTTCTGTGATGGAGCTGCCATCTTGCTGAGAGCAGAGTCTGGTGGAGAGGTGATAGCAAGGCTGGCCTACGGGAAGCTACCGAGCTCCATTCATCTGTCTCTCTCTATTTCCTTTTTTTTTTTTTTTTATCATCCAGCGCTATCTGTTCCTGGCTGCCAAACAAACTATTTATTTTTAAAATGTATTGTCTCTCTCTCTGAAGCTTGCTGCTTCTTTCCTCTCCACAGGGCGCCACAATACAGACTTTCTAATCTCTGCAGGAGGTCAAAAACACAACCACAAGTAAGCGGCATCAAAGTTAAACTGAGCAGGGTTATCAGTGACCATTTCTAACAGTTATTACAGTTTTCTTTTGTCAATTTTCATTAAGTACTATACTACTAGTGGCATGGGTTTGAACCTATCTTATTATAAATGGAATTAAATGATCAATTTGATATTTTCTAGTGTAAGAGTTCTCTCCATTTGACATGTTTGTCTCCATCTGTCTCTGGAGAAATCAATCAATAAAGCTTCCTTAACATTCCTAGTGTGTTTGTACATTTAAAAGCACCCATAGATATTACCTGATAATGCTTATTAAATTAGACTGATATTATTCGGTCTTCAGGATAATAATTAGGTTCCACAGTGAGTAGGAAAGAAAAAGAGAGAGACAGCAGCAGAGTTAAAATAAAGAGTGAAATACAGTCAAATAAATTACAGCTAGAAGGCAATATAATGTATAATAATTTGCATATAAAGCATTCTTAGTATTGCTAAAGTAATAATATAGAATTAGCCCATCCTTTCTAATCTCTTTCTTTCCCTCTCTACACACTCCCAAGGTTAAATGAAGCCCTACCACACACAAAGACAAATCAATCCTGCCCAACATGGGATTAGATTCCTATACACTTCTGTAAATAAGTGGTGTATTGACAGACAGCAAAGAGACAGTGACACCAGAGGCTTCATCTGTCTACTTATCACTCTATTCATTACTGCGTGTTTATAAACCAAACGCCGTCTGACAGTCTGCTCTGCTGTATTAGTCTGATCAATACAATATTGGCAAAAATATAATATGCCGGGGGGGGGGGGGGGGGGGGTTGGTGGATTGCAGCAGAGATATGGAAAGCTGAGAGGGATATCTGTTTATCTTAAAAAGGGACTCCTCTGGGCCACAGAAACAGAAAGAAAGAGAGACGTTCAGAATGAAATCAAAACATGCAGAGGAAAGGCATGCATCAAGTTTGGGAAAAAAAAAAAAGAAAGAAGAAAGGCAGAAAGATATTTGTATGAAAAAAAAAGTCCGATAACGAGAATGGAAAAAAATCAGCTTTAGGCAGGAAAAGATAATTTAAAAAGAAAGCGAGTGAAAAGTAAAAAAAATGCACAGAAAATGAAAGTAAAGACTAAAAACAGCTAGAGACAAGATAACAGCCAACAAATGAAAAGTTTAAAAGGAAGGAAAATGATGGAGAAGTTTAGACAGATGTCTCATCTCTTTGTCAATATCCAAATATCTATTAGTGTTAACGCCGTGCTTCTGCTGAGTCTGTTCTACGATCCTAACGTCGCCATAAAGTTTTGCGTCGACAACAGGAAGGCAAACAGTCACTCAGGCGTCAGCTAATGGGAATCGAAATCAAAATATAAATCAAGAGAGTACAGACAGAGACAGTCTGTTTTTACCTCACCTTCATTCCCATCATGCCTTGCCTGTCTTCATTTCACCAATACTCTGTGGTGCATACCGGCGTCAAAGCAATTTCCGACAGCAGAGTAACATTACACAGCCGATGATCTGGACCCAAATGCTGCTTTATCTCTTTGTTGTCCTGTTTTTTGATTCTCGAGATGCACTCAATTTAACCTCCATAATGGGACCACGAGACATCGCCGTGTTGGAAAACCTATAGACAATCAATGATCCAGGGTTGGCTCACAGATGGAGCAAAACAAGAAGGATATTCCCTGAATTCACCCGGCAAGGGCAATTGATACCAGAGCCAGAGGGCTTTTATTGGAACGAGTTGATCTAATGGACTGCATTCACCATCATGTTGCATGCAGCGTAGCAGAGAAACACTTTCTTTTGCAGTGCCCTCTAAGACATACTACTCGTCCAAATTTCAGAGTTTGCTTGTTCCGACCCCAAAGCAAAGATTGAATAAAGGTCTGCGCAATTAAGACTTTGCTTTCCAAGTAGAGGGACCAAATCAATAAAACAATGAATTAACAGAAATGTGCTTTACTGCCCTACTCATAAATATAAGCCCTCCTTTTAAACTGTTTTACTGGAGATATGTTTTTTCTGTAGCTTGATTCTTGACCTGGATATCATGCTCCCATTATAACACAACCGTATTTCTAATAGCAGCAGATATGTTGGTATTAGTGCTGTTGAAATAAATAGGGGTCTTTGGAAACAGAATTGTCAACTCATGTTGGGAAAGAACTTTACACAACAGTTATTTCTGATAAACAGTTACAAAAACTGACACTGTTCTTTCCCCACATTTGTCTTTTTAAGACCCTGCATTTCTTTTAGTTTGACACATTTTTTTTTTTAGAAGCATTAAGTTATCAGTTACATTTGATTTCAATAAATATTAAGCAGATCAGTTACAAATGATGCTCTCTCAAAGGTTTAACAGAATTCTCCTTGATTCCATGTTAACTGTAAACAAAAGCATACAGTAAAAAGACCAAGAAGAGCCAGGGCTTCACTTGAAGCCCATTTTTCCATTAGGTCACCCCAAAGCTTCACCCAAACCCCAGACCCAGGTTGAAGTAGAGTAATCAAGTTGCACCATCAGAGGACTGTGTCTCACTCCTGATTACATCTGCACAAGACTGAATCGTTTTGAAACTGTTTGAACATATGTAAGTTCAAATGTGCCCTCTAGGCAATAAGAAATGGGTACTGCCATATACAGTGCTTTGTGATTCGACAATGTTGTGTTCAGGGTTGCAGCAGAATGGTTTTCCAAGCTCCTGTCTTGACTGAAGAAGTTTCCAGTTAAAGTGAGGCTTCAGCATGCCAACTTTGTGGATTAGCTTTAAACCTAAAGCAATCTGGACTTAAATAGATTGATAAAGAAGCTTCCTCTCTGAAGCAAGGGCTTGTTTGTGCCTTCATCTTTGTACTTGTAACATCTTTGCATTAATTTCAAGTCAGTGCAATGAGTGGTGACTGACTCTGAATCAATGTCTTTTGTTGATATAAAGAGGTTAACTTTTGTAACCTAGCAACAATAACCGCTGGTGAGAAGCTCTCTGAAAACAGAGATCTGAGCGCTTCCAGCACAAAAAGCGCCGTCTCTGGACACAGGCCCTAACTGAACTGTATTTTATTGATGAAGCCTCACCTCAAAGAGCTCATCTGCTGTACTGTAGTGGATGGAGGCGGGTGAAGCATCTGCTGGCTGATCATTGCACCACTGTAGCTCGCTGAGACAGTTGACGCTGTCGAAGTCACTGGTGTCCAGCTGGGAGAGGTCGATGTCCGGGAAGTCAGTGTCCAATCGGTCCGAACACACCTCCTCCTCCCCATACTGAAGATGGAAAAAGAGAGAGAGGGGAAGAGAAAGGTCACGTTAGTCAAACATTGAGATTAAAGGAAATTCCCCAAGGTGCTTCGTCTCTTCGAGATTCAACAACAAGTGCAGGAGTCACTTTGTAAAACATGAACCCAAAACACTGGAGGTGCTGATCACAGCTGGAAATATCTTCAGTGAGAAACGATGCATGCGTCACTCACGTCTGCTTCTCAAACTCTCTTCTGCGATCACAAAGGAAGTGATGTCTTCTCTGCTCTCTGAAACACCAGCTACCAAACATGGGAAATAATTCTGATCTCTCTGAGAAGCTGCCAGGATTTGGGTTTCCTGTGAAGTTCAGCACTTCTATTGTTAAAATTAGGGGGTTCAATAATTCCCATTGGGCAAAGCTTCCTAAAATATGTATGCAGCTGAAGTACCAGCAGGTACTTTGGATAAAAGCCTCCATCATCTGGCATATACTGTATATTATTACACTGTTCACTGTCAGAGTCACAAGGAGCTCCCATGAACAGCCCCTCATCTCTCAACAGCTTCTCATTATAGATAATGAGACTTTCATGTTAGAGGAGGTTCGACACTGAAACCAATAGAGGCATCTGCACCGACACAGTGTGGGATTAGACGGGAAACGTGTCATGCACACCAGCAGGACCTATCTGGAATCATCTTCATGCATTTATCCTGCTCATCTCCCCGCGGCCCACAGAGATGCGCAACCGTGACTGTAAGAGGTCCTCAGGTGATTAGTTCCCCTTCGCTGGTTGACGGTGTGTTAATCAGTGAAATGAGCCGCTCCGTTTACTCTAGTTAATCTGTGGACTTGTTTTCGGTGCTTTGGACCTTTAGGAAAACCTCTCGAGTCATGTGAACTACAAACAGCTTTTTGAAAAGGTAAATAATTGCTCTGTGCAACATAAAGCATGCCAATCCAAAAAGGATTATTTCAGAGCATTAAATGATATAGAGACTGTTTTCTATTATATACATTTCTATGGATACTGTGAGAAACTTTCCATTCATTGATGAATCCAAAAAGTAATTGAAAAGTGAATCATACTTTTGGTCAATGGACCTCCATAAACCTGACTAAACAGATTCTCTTTGTGATGCCTTAAACCTAATACTCAACAAACGATCCCTGAATTATTTTGTCGTCCTTGATGCTTACTGTAACAACTAGAGAACTTCATCTGAGACTTCAGAGTGTCTTTGTGAAACTTCAATTCTTTAACACCTAAACTCCCCCCCCCGCCCCAAATTAACCTAGATTGACCCTCAAACAAAGCTCTGGATCAGCCCCAAGAAGTGGGAACCCCGAATCTTCCCAACAGAGCGACCTTCAGTTGTTTAACTGCTACAATGTCTCTGTCAGAAGTTAGCCGCCACGTGGTCCGCAGTCACAACACATGGCAGAGATTCAGACAGCTACAACGAGCCACGTCATACAGAGAAAAAACAAAAAAAAAAAAAAAAAGAAGACAAGGAGGAAGTGTGTGGACGTGACTCAGCGTAAATGGAAGTGAGTGTAGTCTCTTGGGGTGATGACTGAGCGAGCGAGGGGGAAGGAGGGACATTTTTTTTGTGCAGCAGGAAACAAAAGCAGGAGGGGGAGAGAAAAAAAAGGAGCGAGCAAGTGAAAAACATTTTTACAACCATTGTGTACTTGATTCCACATCAGAGCAAGAGATCAATGTCTTATTGAGGAAGTAAGCTCTGTTACCAGTCTGTCTGTCTCTAATTCACCTATGACACACACACACACACACACACACACACACACACACTTCCTTTTCCATTCATCTCACTGGGCGAGCAGACTCGGTCGACCAGTTCCACCAGTTGCAAACTGAATCCAACAGACGGTTTTTATTCACTCTCAGGTTTCCTAGGCGGTAATCTCATCTCCAGCTCACTGACTGAGCTGCACATAGGCTGTCGTTGATATTTTGCCCCTGAGCACTACGCAGCCCTTCTCAAAAGTTAGCCACGATGAGCCACTCACATCTGTTCTTCTTGATAGCGCTATGTGTGGACTGTCACTGGAGCCGAGACAAAATAGCGGTACGGCAATGTATTGTCATCCTGTCTGTTCTGAGACGACTATCTAATCCCCGGTGCCAAATTTTGACATTTGATATTCCAGGCAATTTAACTCACTTCACCACCACCACCTCACTCTCCACCACTTCCAAATTGAAGTGAATAAAAGCATTAGTCCTGCACTTACGCCTAATTGACTTAATCAGATATCATGATGTGTCATCCTTTGATTGTCTTGCAATATATCAACGGCTGCATCGTGATGTTATCATCATTATCAAGGGCCATGTATGGCGTACCATATCATGAGTGACCCTGCGAGTCCCATCCCCACATATCACAACGAATCAAAAATAACGGTGAAGTTTTATTTGATTGTTTGGTTAGCATAAACTACCATGATTTAACTTCTTTGTTCAGTCTGTCAGGACATACCGGTAGTTTCCCCAACAGGCAGCTCTAATTGTCCTGGCTCAGTTTGATGATAAATGATTAACTGACTCGAGAGGGTCCTTGACATTTATGAAAACAGCAGGGTTAAGTTTAATTACAACGCTTAAAAGGACTAATCTCCATATTTTTTTGATTTTTTTTCAATCAATTTTAGATCAGCAGCAGCTAGCTCCACACTATGAACTACTTGTTCTGACTCTAGAGGCTCCTGGACAAACATGAGAACAGTTCTACTGTGACTGGTGATTACATTAATCTAAATGATATTGTTTAGTCAATGTAAAGAAATAAAAGCATTTTGCCAAACTGTGACGGTCCCTCTCTATTCTCATCTTCACTCCTTCTCTGTCGTTACTCATCATCACAAACTATTTTCCACAAGCAGTTGACAGAACTTTCACTTCCCACAAACTAATACATCAACACGTCTGCATCTGATGAATTAACAATTATTAATTATCGCCTGCAAAACCGCATCGCATCATCAGATCATGAGTCAATCACATCACTGAAGTTCATCCACTTCTTGTTTCACTGTTCTGTGCTCTTATTACTTTCTATTTTATTTTGAAAGGATCTTGCAATTTGATTTTCAGAAACACTTTTTCAATTTCCCTTCTGATGCCTTTTTATAAATGTATTATTGGAATTGTGTGCCAATCCTTCTCACCATCCTCCTCTGCTCCACAAACGTCTATATGCACATACACATTTACACACACACACACACACACACACACACACACACACACACACAAACACAATATACACACCATCCACTTCCCCTCACCCACAAAACTAGATCCAGTTTTTCTATAAATCACTATAATTTCATGTTGCATTTATGATCACCACTTGTATAGTTTTGATCCACAACCTCAGACAGGCATACTCTTCCCCTCGCTTTGTGTGTATTCATGTGTGTGTGTGTGTTTGTGAGTGTGTGTGTGTGCGCGTCCATGTGTTTATTTGGGTCAAGGAATTGATAACATGTGCTGATATCATTTATGGTTTCATAAATTACACAGAGGAATTACACAGAGTGGAGCCGACACGATCAAAGAGCCAATCAGCAAGTGAAGAGAAGGAGAGAGAGAGAGAGAGAGAAGGGCGTGATGGAAGGAGAGGATTGTAAAAAAAGGAGATTCAAGAAGGAGGTAAAAGGTGAGGAGGTGGAAAAGGAAAGATGAAGTGGGTGAGAGGGAGGAAAAGAGAGAGAGATGTGGGTCAGTAGAGGGGGAGGAATAAAGGAGAGATGTGGGAGGAGCAGGGGGGAGGGCAGTCGTGACTTGATAGAGAAACAGACGGAGAAGAAGGGATGGAAGGAGGAGACGAAAGACGAGAGGGGAGAGGATGCCCTCTATAAGACCCTCCCACTGCCCCCCCCCCCCTCCCTCCGGTTGCTGATGCAGGTGTGTGTTTTCACCTATGTGTGTGTTAGCTTGAGTGTTACGCGTGCGTTATTTAGCATGCAGCTCACATCCCTCTCACGTGCGCCTGACTCATCCCTCCTCCTCCGCTCGTTAGCTCGACGCATCCCTCCTCTCCCCCTCTTTCAGCTCATCCTCTTTTTCTCCATCACTTCCTCCACTCTTCCTCCTTGACCCCTCTCTCGCTCTTCACCTGTCATCTTTTCCTTCACTCAGCATCCTTTCCACTATCTCCAATGTTCCTCGTTTCTCCCCTTTCCTACTCATCATCTTTCCTTCTTGATAATCCCTTTGCTTCTTCTTCCTCCCCCTCTCCTCTAATTCTCTCTCTCCATCTATCGCTTCCTCTCCTTTCCCTCACTCTATAACCCAAACTATGTATTTTATTCTTTAAGTGCCCCCCCATCACTTCATTAACTCTTCCTCTTTGACCTTTCTCATCCCCTGTTGTCTTTTCCTTAACTCAGCATCCTTTCCCATATCTCCAATAATCTTTCACTCCTTGTCTCATCATCTTTCTTTCCTCATATTCCCTTTTGCTTTTTTTCCCTGTCTTCCTCATTCTTCTCTCATTTTGTCCCTCTTTCTTTCAAAGCATCCCCAATCCCCAAATTGTCTCCCCTCACAAATGTTCATCATTGCCTCCTTTTTTTTTTTTAAAAACCTTGCCTTTATTTCTTTTTCCCTTTCCTGAACCATTCATTTTCCTTCCCTCCTTTGCATCCTTATCCCCTTGTTTTTTCTACTCCTTGTCCATTTTCCAGTTTCAAAACTTCTTCTTCCCATTTTGTCCAGCCATCACCACTTTCACTGGCCCTTCATGTCCTTTCAGCTTTCCTTTCTCCTTTTTCTCTCTTCTCCACTCCACTTCTTCATCTTTTCCTTGCCTCCCTCTGTTTTCCATTTCTGCTCTTCTTCATCTTCTCTCCTCTCCTACTGTATCCCTCTATCATTATTCCTCTATACCTCCTCCTCATAAACTCAAAGGACAGGCTGATTGATTTCATTGTTTCCACTGGGCCCCCCTCTCTCTCTCTCTCTCTCTCTCTCTCTTCAGTCATCCCTCCT